GCATTCTCTTGCAGTCTCTGGGGCAGAAACAATTGATTTCTCTGAAAGCAAACAAGAGAACTTGAAGGAGGGACGCTGGAACACCAGCTGACTATTCTGCTCTGCTCAGGGTTCTGAAAAATGTATGGGGGGCTGGTCAGGGAGCTGGCTTGCTGACACCATCTCCCCATGCCCGCGGGACCACACCAGGCAGAAGGATGGGAACAGAAAGCCAAGCAGAGCAGGGCCACGGCTCCCATGTCTTGTGTGGTGGGAGATGCAGCCATAGAGTCACCACAGAAGGCCTTTCCATGTGCCCCTGTTTCTTAGGGACTTCAGCCAGACCTACCAATGGAAAGTAGGATCAAACTGTAGCATGAGGAACTGTGGTCAGACTTAAGGAAGCACTGTTCATTAGGAAGGTAACCAGGAGAGGAATGAAATAGTTTTTGTTGGCGGTTTGAAAATGAGAGCGGTGGGAAGTGAGTGGATGACCCCGGGCCCCCACAGCGGGCTAGAGGGGGCCAGTGGCGGTCTCAGCAGATTACTGTTGTTGGGGAGAGTTGGCGAGGACAGGAATCTCAAGCATCAGTTTAAGTACGTTACGCGTCAGAAACGCAGCTTCTTGTAATGCTCTGTGTGCTATGTGCCATCTTAGGCCTTCATATCCTCACTCATGCTGTTGTTTTGAAGTTTTGTTTTTGTTCTGGGAGGAACATTCTCTTCTGCCCTACTACCAGCCCTTCACCTGGCTCCCTCTAACACATTTTTCAGGACCCAGATCAAGTCTCCAGGGCCACATCTACACGGAAGCCTTTTTTGATCCCCCAGGTATGGCTAAGGCTCCTTTCCTCTCTCCCCTCGCACCACTCATTGCTTCTGGTAAAGGGAGAGGAACACGTGTCTAGCTCCCCCCGACTCTAATGTCTCAGGCTCAAGGATCTTCTCCTGCCCGCCAGTATGAACTTGAATGCCTAGTATGGCGTCAGGTGCTCGGTAAATGTTTGTGGATCGGAAGATCCAGATACAAAGTCGTGTCACCTTGGCCAGGCACTGACCTCTGTTTCTCAGGTTTCTTATATGTGAAGTTGAGAGTTGGATATATTAAGTCTAAGATCTGAAAGGGGGAGTCTTAGTCCAATAGCCCCTCCAGTACCTGTCTTTCTTTTCTTTCTATGGCAAACCTAAGGTCATTTTTAGCTTTAAAATCCAAAGACTTTGACTGTTATTAATAATGGTGGCAGGATCAGATGAATGGCGTATCATAGAGTTGGAAAGACACTATAGGTTATGAGAGTCTGAAGAATTGGTTTTATTGGCTCACAGGACATCCAGTCCTGTAGGATAATGGAGCGTCTTCTCAAAGAGTTCTAGGAATCTAGCAAGGCTAGGAGTGATTTTGCCGAGTTAGAACTATGATAGCTCCAAACATTTCTTCTCATAGTGAAGGATCAGAGTGGGGATGGGGTGGGGAGGATCACTGGGCTCAGTCTTGAGTGTAAATGTTGGGTGGGAAGGACTAATTAATACTTCACAGATGGGTTGGGAAAATTAAATGAGATCATGCTTAATAACTGCTTGTCACTGTGCCAGAAACGCATGAACATTCATAAACTTTCAGCTATTTTTGTTAACATAAGCAGGTTGGAGGTATGGATCTGGGAGCCGCCGTGATGCTGGGGATCGTTAAAGCCCTGGGCATGAAGACCTGTTCACTCCAGACATTAGCTGAGCTCATATGACTTACAGAGCTTCAGGCTGAGCAGTGCAGGAGGGGCGAGGGGTGTGCCCCCCCCGGGAGTGTGTAGGTAGGTCTTCACTTTACCACCAGGCAGGATGTGTTAAGTCCTTTGGTCAGATCAGTGGTGGGGATTTAAAAATCCTTTTTGGAGAAAGTGGGCTTTTGAGATAGGCCTTCAAGGATGAGCGGGACTCCAGTAGGTAGACGTGAGGGAGGGAAGGAGGGGGCTTTTCGTGCACGGGCAGCGAGTGCTCAGGAAGCCGGGAAGGAGGGGTGGGGCTAGGACCCGGGACCCTTTCAGCGAGTACACGGAGGAAGTGTTGAGATGTAGACAGGTGTCTAGTTAGGTTCAGTAGAGAACCTTGAGTTCCATTCTTAGGATTTGGGACTTCAATATGAATGCTCGTAGCGGGCAGAAAGATTATATCAGACTTTTATTTAGAAAGATTGAAGGACAAAGGTGTGAATGAGTGTGAAAGAGGAAGGGAAATGGAGGAGACCACTTAGAAAGCTCCTGGAAAAGTCCCGGCCAGAGGCCTTGAGAACCAGAGCTAGGGCCCTGGGGGTGGGAGGGAAGGAGGGGTTCAGGAGCATTAGGGAAATGGAGTTGGGTGGGATTCAGTGACTCACTTAGTGTGGGGTGAGATGGGAGAGACGGGTTCGCAGCCTGGGAGACTGGGAGATGAGGATGCCGGTGAGGGTGGGCAGCAGTGGGAGGAGCTTGGGAGGAAAGGTCACAAGCTTAGATTTGAATCTCAGGTGCTGGTGAGACACCTCTTTGGAGGCAGTGTCACGTCGGCAGCAGGTTGCTGGGCTGCAGCTGACAAATGTGATCAGAGCCAGAAGCAGGTGGAGGAGCCCTCCAATTGGAGGCATAGTCAAAGTCATAGAAAACAGGAGTGGTTGGGGTGGTGAAGGACTCACCTTTGGGGAAGGGCTAAATTTTAGGTGGAAGAGCAGGAGGGGAGCCAGCTGCTGAGACAGGAAGAGGAATAGAAGAGAGATGTGTGTGTCATCAGGGAGAAGAGGAGATCTTGAAGAACGACACAGATGATGAACAGCCTTAAAGCGCAGAAATTAAAGTGGCAAATGATAGTATAAGTTGTTTGTCAACTGACGTCTTGAAAGCAGAGTTTTCGGGATCCTTGGGTGACGTGGAGGGTCAGCTGATGTGGGGTCACTAAGGGAGGAGGACATCTCATGGACACGTCTGAGATTCATGTGGTTTTGGATCCTTGGAGTGAGTTTCCTCCAGGTTGGAATTTTTTGCCTACCCCTTGCTTGCATCCTTCCTCTCCAGCCAGTTATCAGCAGGGATTCAGATATCCTTTGAAGGATAAAGGGACCACCTTTCTGTTCCCGGGTCTGGATCACCCTCTGTGAGGATGTCCCCCTCTCAGGAAAAGACAGGAGCCCAGCTGTGTGTTCATGTGGTCTGAGCTGGGTATGTGCTGGGTGCCATCCACACTCTAGCTCCGCTCTGAGCAAACTAGCTGAGGTTCAGGGCGGGCTTCCTGACTGTTCTTCCGGCAGAGTGATCCCTGGAGTGCTTGGCAGTGGGTTGAAATTGGCCGGAGAGAACGGGGGCTCCCCCAAGGCTCCCTGGAGGATGGGTCTGAGGACCTACTCGCTGCTGTCCTAGGTCTGGGCTTTTCCAGCTGAGGAAAAGGAACAGAGTTTCCTTTCTCCAGGGCTTGTAGCAGCGGATGAGTTTAGAAGTCCGAGGATAAGGATGTTGGGGGTGGAGTGAGAACTTAAAGAGCCTCTTTTTCTAAATCACAGTTGTTGTTGGTATTATCACGGAGTTTGAGGATAAAGCAAAACATTGGGCCTTACGTGTCCCCATTCGACCCCTGGTCACCTCTGTCTTCCCTTTTCTCAGGTCTCCTTTTGTTTCTTTTCTCTCTCAGTTTCCTTCCAAAAGTGAGAGCCCTGGGTGCGCCCCGCTGTTGCCCTCCCCCCGCACGTGCTGGTTTGGGCCTTTGGGCTCCTTCCTTTTCTCTCTGCGCAGGATCCTTAGGTGGAAGGTTCTGCTGAAAGGGGCATGGTTTTCATTGCAAATGGGTCCAGTGGGACACCTGAGGTTGCAGCTGGGTCTTCATGCAAATGGCCGCGTTCCCCACCCTGCACTCTGCTTGCTTAGGAAAAGCCGGAATGAAGCTTCCTGAGAGTTTCCTGGGGCCCTGACGGGCTCTGACGGTCTCGGCCTCGGCTCCAGCTGCGGCCAAAGCCTGACCCTGCTCTCTGACGGCTGAGTGCGTGAGAGGCCCCCGGGCGTGTCACCCCCTCCCTTGTGCTGTCTCAGTTTTCCAGTGTCACACGTGCTTTCCTTCCCATTTCCTGCCTCTGTCCTTCCTCTGTCCTCTCTGAGGAAAGCAAACACCTGTTAGAGCTTAACTGCATTTAATTTTCCTCTCCTCTTCCTTTCTTCATCTCTTCTATCCCATTAAGAACACAAGCTAAATATTCATACAGTCTGTAAGCCTTGGTGTAAGGGGATTTGGGTCTGTGGGATGTCCCAAGTACGTGCCAGGAAGGCGCTTTAGGGAGGGGAGTATGGCACGTGAGACCTGCTGTGTTCACTTTTACCCTGGGCAAGGGCGGCAGGAACCAGCGCGGCTTACGTGGAAATGGAATGGTGTGAGTTACAAGTCAGAAGACCCAGATTTTGCTTCTCAGCCCTGTGTGATCAGAGGACACTTGGTTCTCTGCTATGCATTGGTCTTCATTTTAAAAACAGGAATTAGGGCTTTTGCCATTACTCCCTTGGTGGAATGATTTAAGGACCCAGTGAAATAATATGAATATGGATACTTTGGAAAGTGGGATTCTTTCTGTTATTTTCATGGGAAAATCTTTCCAAAACAAAAAGTAGGAGCTGTGTTTGCAGCATGTATAAAACAAGCTGACAGTATTGATATGATCTCTAATGAGTCAGCTCTTAAATTCCATCTTTCCTGGACAGTTCTT